TTAATTTGGAGCCGGCCTTTCAGATTGCTGGACGTCATAAACGTGCCGATTACCGTAAAGTAAAGCAAACTCGTACCTAATATGCCTTCTAATAATTTTTTGAAACTATGTAAAAAATCTGTCATGTAATTAAAGTATTATAAAGTGTTGTAAGTATAAAAACTTAAAGTTCTTAACGAAATTACGTAACCATTGTGTCACAAGTATACTAGGTATTGGACATATTTGGAACATTCTTTTAGTGCTTGCCTACATCAATGTAAAAAAGTTTCGATCATATTTACGCCTATGTAAGCAATAGATAAGCGATTTCAAATAATTTTGTAATGACTTGATGGATATCCATTCTAATCAGTTTTCTTACATCTAAGACAGTAAAAATTTAAAGATCAATTTATTCATATTTTAAACAGCAGGGAAAGGAACTCAGCGGTTTTAGCCAGTAGGATTCTGGCACTGCCTTTCTCCCGAGCCGGTCGAAGGAATCCTTTCGCTTCCTTATTCATTATTGAAGAACAAAATGTAATATCGCTTAGTTGCATTTCTTGTTAAATAATTAGATACTATGTTTTGTCTTTATTATGATAAATTTAATATTCTATGACATTAATTATGAGTCTTTGACTCGTTAAGATAAGGATAATCTTAAGTATGTTTCCAATTAAAAATTTTACTGTTGAGTCATGAAACGTGAAATCTATTTATAAGTTTATCTTTTAACAGTTTATGATTCAGTGTCACTATATTTAGCACCAGTAGAGCTGCTAAGTGGCACTGTAATGACGCTCGGGTTCTGCAGATTTATCATAGACAAACACGCGTTTATTACCTCTTATATAATTTTATTTCCACTGAAAACTGAAACACATTAAACTGAAAAGATATTTTTTATTTGTTGATTGGTTGGTTTTTGTTCAGTTTTTAACTATTTGTAGGTTTTTACTCTATAGATATGATTTGAAAGAGTACGCACGTTTTCAGGCGTCGAAATATTTCATAACTTCCCATTGTTAGAGAACCGTGAGAACTGAAGGCACGCGCCCCTATTCAGTGGGCGGTGACAAATGAACAATGCCTTTTATATAGTGCTTATTACTAGAGCGAAAGAGGTGAATTTTCTTTGCAGTGGTAAGGCAGTAAGTCTGCAAGTTGCAATAACAAGATCACGAGGGGTATAAACAGCAATGGACAGTTACGTGCCTGTCGACACGTCTCCACACGTAAACGTTGCTTCGATATCGATTTCATCGCCTGTACGTCTTGAAAAATAGGCTTCTGAACGCATAAAATACAGTATAATAACTCTAAGTTGTTTGCGATAGTTCTGAACTATTTTTGATTTAACGATTTCTACAATAAAATAAAACGTTTTGTGGAGAACATTTTACGAGTTTTAAATGGGTTATTTTCCTTTGTTAGTTGCGAATGTTGAAAACAGAATAAGAAACTATGAGATGTCTAGAAAGAATGCTATATGTAAGAATACCTTCTGTTCTGCTGGTAGTTTAAGCGTACGGTGGTACCCTATTTTTCTAATTCCTAGTAATGTTTTATTGGCTAAACTAGTTTCGTGACATGCGTTGACCTCGTTTATGCTCTGGTCACAGTCCAACAGTTTCTTCCGTGTTATCACTGACCGGAACACTTTGTTTTGTTTTCCTGTTTATGCCGTTAATAGTATACATTGTTTACATACCTACATATCTAGTTATTAGGTACTTAGTTACTCGTATTTGAGTTTGTCGCGTCATTTTGTAAATAGATTGATAATAAAATTACTCCTCATCTAACTGTTTGAATGTACATATATGATTATCGAGATTTTACCATTTTCGTATTGCTGTTAGATTTTTTATATTTCCTGATGTATTTTCTCTCCAATTGTTATTTACAAGTCTATTGTTGTTGTTATCTATTAGATAATCGACTAAACCCCCCCGTTCCTTCTCATGCTCCAGGCCAAGGCGCCTACCAGATAACTACATAGTTCATCCGCAAATGTTCCTTGAGACATATATCATACTCGAAGGTCGATGTTAAAACGTATTGACACTAATAAAGTGCCCTATATTTCTCGTTGTTCATTAATATTATTTAACGACTGTTGTCGCTATGTGGGCTCTGAATTGTGGTTGAATCGAAGTTGCATCATGCAGTTACATTTCTATACAATTGAATATGTGAGTAGGTATGTGATGTAGGCACACTAGAATATTCTATTCTGCAAAATATAGGGCATGTTGTGTCTATTGCACATTGACTTCACATTTTAAGCCGATGAAAATCATAAAAGATATGTTTAATAGTTATCCTTATAAATATCCGTTAAATAATGAAAGAAAAAGGGTACTGGAATGAAATACTGACATTGATTTAAAAATAGTACCTATCAATTTTAAACCATGTTAGAGCATGATTAGTAATTTCCATTTTTATGCAAATTCGTAATCATTGCTAGTTTCAAGGCAAAAAGTGACTAAAATAGAACAATTCGTATTAAAAGTGAAACTAAAGTTGTAATCTACGAAAAAGGTCAGCCTTTTTTTAACTCTTAAAAGGGTTTAGATAAGCCTCAGTTAAGAGTACGGGAAGCAAATGATAAGTAATGGTGGTTTGAGATTAAAATCTACATAATCATGCGACTTAACTTTAAAATAAATTCCTTTCAAAACCCAAAAAAATATGGCACTTTAAATTATTGACTTAATCGTATCGTGGAGTTTTTCATGCGCATTACTTCAACTTAAAAATAAGTGTTTAATTTTATTGAAATTTACTTAATATTTTTATGTTTGGATTATTTTTGTAACAGCCCTATTGAAATATCCGTGTCATGCAGTCTGACCTCGGTTTAGGCTAGATATCTAGATCCATTCTATTTCATATCCTATAGTACTTTCTTAAATAGATTTGAGACTTTCAAGCAGTTAGTAGGAACAAGGAGAAGTAAGCTAAGAATCTTCTAAGTTAATTATTTTGTTCTTTTAAGTAGACTTTTCCTTGGATTTGTTAGATATCGTCACTATAGATAGGTTACAAAATAAAATTGTAAAAGCCTTCAATAAGAATTAATTAACAATAAGGTGTAATACAATTTAAGTGATATAATGGAATATTAACTTTGGTATGTTTTGAATTACTTAAAGACATTATTTCGTGTGTAAGTTCAGACTCGGGTTACACGTGGATAATAGTATCTTCTTATGAAATCATTATGGTATGATGCCTAAATTTATACAATACCTGATTACTTTCCTAAGTAACTACCAACTCAACTCTGTTTACATTACTACCTAATACAGTGTATCAAATGAATCTAGACTTAATACATAATTCGATTTGTTTCTAAGTATTTCGATTTTAATTTATCATTATTTTAAAGGCAGCATGAATTGTAATATTGTTCAAACTTTGTAATTGTGTAATGAAGGCAATTAATTTATGACGATTGTTTTTTAATATTTCTTTGGTTATAATTTAGTCTCAGTGTTTGTCTTACCACATAAAATCTAATTAACACAACTGAGACTACCGCTAAAAGTTCTATTCTTAGAAGTGTGTTGACCTCATACAGTATTAAACTAAGTTTTCGTTACCTATCTTATTTTAATTACAATCATTACAAGACTTTCATTTCATTCTTCATCCTGGTAAAAAAAAAACTATTGTTAAAGTTGTCTATGATGCATTACTAACAGATATGAATTTCAAATTGTTCTAAAAAAACGTCAGTCTTCTTATTGTTCAGCCATCTTGTATTGTAGTCTATGACTGCATTAACAAGTTTTAAATATTTTTACTCTTTAACTGTAAGGCTTCAAGAACGTAGGTACTGATAATAAATCTAGGAAGTTTTTGCAATAAATAGGTATTATCTGCTATAGTTATCGCGACATATAAGTTACAGCTATCGTTAGAATCTAAACTGACAAGTTAGTCATATCTTTTGATTGACAGTTTTATTTTTTCATAAAAAATGGCGCAGTTCTTTTTTTATAACAGATTAAAAAGCATAAGGTGTTTTTTCTGTAGGTATGGATATGTTATTTTATGATAATTTCAACATACTTAGTTAATTACTATGACCTGTGTAGAGTTTTGTTAGCATTGAAGAAATGTAAGCTATGATTACTATTCTATTAGTGGTTTAGTTAGTTGTCGAGGTTTTCGCAATTTAGTTAAATAGTCTGTGTTGTCTGACTATTAGAATAAATAGAAATAATTGGAGGCTATAGGTGCCAGGTAAACTCTTCTATGAAAACAAATTCTATTATTATTATTCAAGGTTTTCAATTGAATTGAAAGAGTGAAAGTTAAGAACGTTAACCTATATTTAAGAGAGATATGTACATGTGGTATTGTGTTATAACTAATGATAAAGATTATACTTAGGCACTGAGTAGTCGATACATTGTTTAAGAAAGCTAAAGGGACTTTGCGCCGATCACGGCACTTCAGATAAAGTAGAACGTGTTGATCTTAAATCCTTTGTGACATGCATCACGAGGTCTGCTGATAACGAAGCTTAGTGCCGCAGGGCCGTGCTTCCATTGAAATAACGACCTCGGGCAACTCTCATTAAGAGAAATGGCTAATTTAGATAAGGAGATATGCCTTTCATTCAATTCAATTCAATATCAAATGTGGCCTTGTGAAAATTTCTCTTAGGTATTTAATACCAAACCTACAATAAATGAGGCAGCGTTTTATTTTTATTTCGAATGTTATGTTAATTATAAAATCGGAATTGTAAATAAAAATGTGTTTGAAAATTTATACGGACGAGACGGTCGTCGGTCGCAGCTTGATACGTCCGGAAGAAACCAACGTCTACACGTAATCATTTTTCACACGCTGAAAACTCAGATCTAGGCGGAAATTTTTAGACACTGCAAGTGGCACTGAATAAATAATGCATTTAAACACTGTCTCAACTCCAGGCATTTTCTAAAAGAGAATGTTGGCAACATAACCTCGCAAAAAAGAAAGTCGGTACTCACACGTATGCTTTCGTCTCCTGCACTCGAACGAGGGCCTGCTTGAAGTGGTCGTAGCAGATCTTGGTGTACTTGGTGGACACAGCCAGGAGGTCTGGCTGGTACTCCACCTCCTTCTGTTTCTCCGAACAGTGGGGATCAGTCACAATATTGTGCTTCTTCTTCATTCTGTCTAAAGTACGCGAGGGTACGTGCGCCGGCGCCACAGGTGCCGGGGCCGATTCTATCACGTCACGGGTACACATATTACACATCTTTTTTTAACAAACACGCTGTACGCACGTTCACTGACCGTATGGCCGGCGCGCGCGCCGTTCGCGTATATAAGTCAATAATTTCGTATCCCCACCACCAGGCGAGTGACGCAAGGTGTGCAACGGCGCCGCTGATAACGCGGGAAATTGATTTAATGGGGGATCGACGTAGAGACATCAATTTTTGTTTGGTTTCTGCACATTATATGGTTTTCATGATTTTCCTTGCATTTCCATTATAATTTACCATGCTTTGTACATTCGTATAATTAAATGATTAAGATAGATTTACCGGAAAAAGGTTTTTGTTCAAACAGACGCTCCATTTATTTATATCTTTTGATATTTAAATGAAAAGGTTGCATCACTGCACCTTAAAGGCTTTAATAATTAGTGTCAGAAAAGCATTTTTACACATGATGACGCATACATGTTTGGTTCTACTTAAAAATGACCATTCAATCCAATTCATAAAAAACTCCTTTTTTATGGATGGAGTTTCTTGCTCGTTCTTCTCCATTCGAAACTACAATTTGGAACGAGCACCTAGCTTCACTGACGAACAGACTGACAGACTACTATTCTATTTTGACGTTTCAAAAGTACCTATTTATGGTTTATTTGGAATAAATGATTTTGATTTTGATTTTGATTTTTGATTTATGTACATTTAGTACGCTAAATTAAAACTAGGGCAAAATGTACCTACGTAAATTGTACAGATGATTTAAAATATTTAGATGGTTCCTGGATTATGATCTTTCCCAAAACTCTAGTCTACCTTCACGCACACGCGGTTGGCATGATTATAAACATACTATTAAACAGACAGTTTATTAATAAGTAATATTTTCCTTTTTAAGAAATTGTTTGTGGGAATGAACAAGACGTGACCTCTTATCTGACCAGTTGCTACCAAAACAAACTAGTTTACCGTTTATCTAATGCTATCTACCTCAACTGAGGCTGATACAATAATACATATCTATGTGGTGTGCGTTAGAATTGTTATATTTTCTCTTATAGTCTACCGTACTTTATAAGAGGCATTATAATAGGTACATGAATAAGCGGGTTATATTTATAAAATAAAAATTTTAGAGGTATTTTTAAGTACTTCGGCTGAAGCTGTTTATTAAGGTAGATATTGACTACTACTACTACTACATACTACCCTTTGCAATGCTGACTTTAATCTTCTCCTCTATTTAATGGATGGTATTACACAATGAAATCTACCTCTTCAATCACTCTATCAATTAAATAAAATAAAACCTAAATGTGACGTGTATATTCGATATTCGGTTTATTATAGATGGATATTGGATTTAAGGGGGGGAGAGTCATGCTTCGCATTGGCTCGACCGGAGTAATACTTCTTGACAGAATACCAGCTTGAAACAATGAACTCACGTTATTTCGCCAAGTGAGCGAGGTTTCCAGAGGTCAAATCCTTTCCCCTATGTTTAAACCCCAAATCTTCTTAGCATAAATCTCTACTAACCCACAAAAGGGTTTAGCTCCTCTGACGTTACGAGTGTCTATAAGTGGGGCTGATTGCTTACCATCAGGTAATCCGTCTGTTTGACGAACTTTCCTACAAAACAAAATAACATACGGGAATGCATATAAAATCGCCGGCAAAAACTACCGATGAATTTTACTACAATACGTATTTGACTTTAATTATAAGCAAACAAAAACATATGTTTTGTATCACACCCACCCGAGGAGTAATGGTGACGCGAGCTATCATGTGACTGACATACAGTAAGATAAATAAGATTCTTTATATCTCAGAGCACCTTATGTGGGATTTCTATTTGTATCTATGCTGAACAATGCAACGGAAATGATTTCACATCTATCTATGTAAATACTAGTTTCCGCCTGCGATTTCACCCGTGTGGTATGTTGGTAAAAAGATGTATTAATCCAGGGTATTATGATTTCAATCAAATCAGTCCAGCCTTTTTTACGTGTGTTAATAACAGACACACATCCATATATTCTCACAATTTTTCAGATTTATAATGTTAGTATAAAGAAACATATGTATTTATTCGTACAAAAAGTAAGTCAGTATAATACATAAAAATGCATTTAAGTGTTAGCAATTAATTGTAATTATATAGCAATGGAACTGCGATTGTGTTATCATTCTATGTGGGTTAAGGAAAGAGACGGTAGTCGCTTCTTTTGTTAGTTAAATCAGATGAATCTAGTTAATTACCAGTACACCTAGAGGTGTTTTCATAAAAGATGTCCATAGACGTTGCCAGTTTGGGCCAGTAGAAAAAAAAGTAAAATACCGAGTTTTCTATTTTATTCCCATAATTAATTGGAATCGATAAGCTCTAGTGTGCCAGGTACCAAAGACATTCACTTATAGAACATTGCTTTTTTTATTGGAAAAGTCAGTGTCAGAACCTTACTGCCTATGCACTCCTATTCTTTTCCTACTCCACGCCGAGGCCCTGGCACCTTATGGCGGTTGCCTCGCTACCCCGGCTGAAAGTTTAAGTCTTGTAAGCTATTGTTTGCAAAAAAAAAGGGAATCAATGTAACGTAGTCGAAAACATTACCTTACCAAGGATTTACAATTGTTTTGATATTTTCATTGACAACAAATATTAAGCATTGTATTTACAAAATCTCCATTTGTCGTGATAGCTAACGCTTAGAGAATCAATATTTCTACATTTCAGGTCATTGAAACTTTAAAGACAAAGAATAAATACAAGTCATTGGCAGTTTACGTACTTTTGTTTCATAATATTAAGAAATTTATAATACCGCATCTTGATCACTAGAAAAACGAAAATAGTATTTGATAAGGTAGTTTTTTCGTATAATAAGTGTGAGAGAGCGATTTTTCAGCACGACTGGAACGACCAGTGTAATACCACGCCTTACATAATACCGGCGTGATACTACGTTTGCGTTATGTTTCGCCGTGTGACTGAAGTTATCGGAGGCCTAATCCGCTCCCGCTCACTTCAATTCTACAATCTTTAATAACCTACAAAAGGCCAGCAAGGCGTTTTATTTAGCGATTTGGTGTGTATAGGTGATGCCGATTGCTTATCATTATACCATCAATTCAGGTTACCTTTAGTTTTCTCCTAGCCATTTTCCAACTAAGCAAGGATTGGAAATGAGTGTAGTAATCTACTCTCTCTTTACTCATTATATTCTACGGACGTTGAAAACTGTCTCTTAATGTAAAGTTTTATGTCTATTCTTATTAGGTATGTGGCAAATACCGATGTCACTTTTTCCAACTTACATTGTATAGATACTTACTTTCTTTTATTCAAACAAACGTACGGGAGAGGATGAAAATTTCGTAAAGAAACCTGCAGATAATTGAATTTTAAACCTGATACCGCTAATTAATGAATGGATCATTAATGCTCCTCCTTCCATCCTTCTCTGTATGACGTTAAAATTATAGTCAAAAGTCAAAAGTCAAAAGTCAAAATTATTTATTTCAATTAGACCCATACAGGCACTTTTGAACGTCAACACAACTTTAAAGATACAAAGTGTCAGTCTGTCGGTCAGTCCTTTTAGTGAAGCTATTCGCTCGTTCCAAAGTGTAGATTCCGATGGAGAAGAACGAGCAAGAAACTCCATGGTTACTCTTTTAAAATCAGTGTCACATAAACATTCTTTGATACATTATTTAGTTAGTTTGAATATGTGAGAACAGTGTAACGCGTGTATACAGAGAAACATAAAAAGAAAATAACCTTAAGGACAATAGACAGTCCGGAGCTGACCAGTCCCAATTGACGGCGCCCGTTCACGAGCATGACACGTACACCAGCATCGCCCAACTCAACCATAATATAGGGAATCGAGCGATCCAGTGACCGTGCCACCGCCAATGTGACCTTTGAGTGAGCATGACAACTCCAAGCTGACATATGGACCGACATTCTGCTAGTCTAACTAATTTTAATAGTCTTTTAAAGTCAAAGTTAAAGTCATTTATTCTTTAGACCTTTTGAACATTCAACAAAGTTTTAAAGATAAATGTATCTGTCGGTCAGTCCTCTAGTGAAGCTTATTCCAAAGTGTATATTGATTAGAAAAGGGCTTATCCAGGAATGGAATACAGCCTGATATCGATAAAAATACATTTTTAATACAATTATAATTAATATTATATTTACATAAGGGTTCAATAACTTAGGGAGACATTCATCTCCCTTATTTCAGAAATTTTCAAGTTCAATACCCTCTGTTGAGGGATTCACATAAGCTATCATGTTTCATAAGGATTTGCCGCATAGTTACTTTGTTTGCTAAGATTACTAGATATGTTATATGTGTAATTATATACTTATCACTAACGTAATCTTAATAGCCTTATATCTGTTGCTTTAAAAATGTAAATATAGTTTATCAATTAATTAAAGGCTTGCCTAGCCGTGACTAACTTTGAACTGAGGTATTTATTTATAGTTGTAGTATTCGGTATATTTTCTTAAGGACTGTAATATGTTGTCTGTAAATACAATATGTATCAAATAAATATGAAATCACTACGTAATACATGTAAGTTTAAATCTGTAAAACTACGCATCGGATTTTGATGCGATTCTTGTTACACATAAATTGATGGAAAAGGAAGTTTTTGTTGTTTAAATTTTGCTACATATCAAATAAATTAAGAACCTTACCTGATTCAAAATCTTGGATTGCAATACCTGCCAGTTTTTTTGGCATCAACATTTTCTAGAAACTCTGATTAATTTATTTGTAAGAATCAACCACCAAACAAATGACCTACGATATTATGACAATAACAAAGTTTTTTTATATGTTTTCTTAGGCTGGAGGTTCTGGTGAGGGAATCCATGACGATGCATTTTCACAGAGAGTTTTAGGAGGAAACTGGATCTACATACCCTATATAAAAATATAATAGTTACATACCAAAAACATTCTGACCTGCGATTTTCTGGTCGTTATCAGTCTATGTCTGAATTTATCTAATCTTTCAGTTTTTCAGATACCTATAATGTCGTGAAAAATATCGTCTGTGTTAGTTGAAGGGCTTGGCACACGACAACTA